GGTGTGGAGACTGAGAGGATGGTGGTATCTTTGACAGTAATAGGGAAGTTAAGAAGAGGGGAGGTCTAGTGGGGGGGGTTTGGAGAAAAGAATGACTTTAATTGGGGCATGTTGAGTTTAAAATATGTACAGGACATCCAGTTCAAGATGTCCAACAGGTGGTTGTAGATAAAAGACTGGAGATCATGAGAGAGGTTAGAGCTGGATAGTAGAATTGAGAATCATCTACATAGAAATGATAATTGAATCCATGGGAACTGATGAGACAACCAAGCAAAATAATATAGACAGTGAAGAGAAGAAGGCCTAGGATAGTCTTGGCAATCACTCATGATTAATGGGCATAGCCTAAATGAAGATTCAGCAAAAGAGACTGAGAAGGCATGCTCAGACAGACTGAAGAAGAACCAGGAGATAAGAGTGTCACAAAAAAAAATTAGAGAGAAGATAGTAATGAGAAGAGGATGATCAACAATGTCAAAAGCTATAGAGAGGTAAAGAAGGATAAGAATTGAGAATTAGACTTAGCAAGTAAGAGATCATTGGTAATTAAGAAATTAATCCAATTTCAGTTGAATTATGATATCAGAAGCCAGACTGAAGAGAATTAAGAAGAGAGTGAAGTGAAACAAAGTAAAGACACAACTTATAAAAAGGCCTTTTCAAAGGAGTTTAGCCAAGAACGTGTAAAAAGATATGGGATGATAGCTAGCAGGGATGGACAAATCCAGTGAGGATTTTTTGAGGATGAGAGAGACATGGGTGTGTTTATAGGCAGTAGGGGAGCAACCAGTAGACAGGGGAAGATTAAAGGTTAGTGGGGAGAGGTATTATTAAAGATGGCATATGGCCAGTTTCTGCCACACGCTTTTACAGTTTTCCCAGCAGTTTTTGTTAAATAATAATTTCTTATTCCAGAAGCTGGAGTCTTTGGATTTATCAAATAGTAGATTAGTATAGGTATTGACTATTGAGTCTTGCATACCTAACCTATTCCATTGAACCGCCACTCTATTTTTAGCCAGTACCAAGTAGTTTTCATTATTGCTGCTTTATAATACAGTTTAAGATCTGGTACAGCTAGGCCACCTTCCCTTCATTTCTTTTCATTAGCTCCCTCAATATTCTGGACTTTTTGTTCTTTCAGATGAATTTTGTTATTGTTTTTATCTAGCTCTATAAAAGAATCTTTTGATAGTTTGATTGGTATGGTGCTGAATAAGGAAATTAATTTAGGTAGAATTGTCCTTTTTATTATATTAGCTTGGCCTACTCATGAGCAACTGATATTTTTCCAGTTATTTAGATCTGACTTTAATTTGTGTGAAGAGTGTTTTGTAATTGTGTTCATATAGTTCATGGTTTTGCTTTGGCATGTAGACTCCCAAACATTTTATAATGTCTACAGAAATTTTAAATGGAATTTCTCTTTCTATCTCTTGCTGCTAGGCTTTGTTATTAATACATAGAAGTGCCTATGATTTGTGTGTATTTATTTTATAGCCTTTGATTTTGCTAAATTTATTTATTATTTCAAGTAATTTTTACTTGATTCTTTAGGATTCTCTAAATACACATCATATCATCTGCAAAGAGTGATAGCTTTGTTTCTTCTTTGCCTATTCTAATTCTTTTGATTTCTTTCTCTTCACAAATTGCTATAGCTAACATCTTATACCCTATATCAAGATAAAGTCAAAATGGGTACAGGATTTAGATATAAAGACTGATACTACAAGCAAACTAGAAGAGCAAGGAATAGTTTACCTTTCAGATCTATGATGAAAGGAAGAATTTATGACCATACAAGAGAGAGAAAATTGTAAAATGCAAAATAGATAATTTTGAATATATTAAATTAAAAAGTTTTTTGCACAAACAAAGCCAATGCATCCAAGATTAGGAGGGAAGCAGAAAACTGGGAAAGAACTTTTACAACCAGTGTCTCTGATAAAGGTCTCATTTCTAAAATATATAGAGAACTGAGTCAAATTTATAAGAATACAAGTCATTCCTCAATTGATAAATGGTCAAAGGATATGAACAGGAAGTTTTCAAATGAAGAAATTAAAGCTATCTATACTCATATGTAAAAATGCTCTAAATCACTATTGATTAGAGAAAGGTAAATCAAAATGACTCTGAGGTATCACATCACATTGGCTAACGTGACAAAACAGGAAAATGATAAATATTGGAGAAGATGTGGGAAAATTGGACCACTAATGCATTGTTGGTGGAGTTGTGAAATGATCCAACCATTTTGGAGAGCAATTTGGAACTATGCCCAAAGAGCTATAAATTGTGCATACCCTTTGACCCAGCAATACCACTTCTAGGTCTGCATCCCAAAGAGATCATAAAGATGGGAAAAAGACCCACATGCACAAAAATATTTATAGCAGCTCTATATGTGGTGACAAAGAATTGGAAATTGAAAAAAAAAAGAATTAGAAATTGAGGACATGCCCATCAATTGAGGAATGGCTGAACAAATTGTGGCATATGAATATAATGGAATACTATTGTGCTATAAGAAATGATGAGCAGGTGGACTTCAGAAAAACCTGGAAAGACGTATGGACTGATACAGAGTGAAATGAGTAGGAAAACATTGTATGCAGTAACAGCCACATTGTACAATGACTGACTTTGATAGACTTGGCTCTTCACAGCAATGCAAGAATCTAAGACAACTCTAAAAGACTCATGATGGAAATTGCTATCTACATCCAGAGAAAGAATTATGGAATCTGAATGCAGATGGAAGCTTACTATTTGCTCTCCTTTTCCTTTGTTGTTTTGTTTTATTACTTCATTCTTGTGGTTCTTCCCATTAGTTCTAATTGTTTTTTACATCCTACCTAAAAGGAAAATATCCTTAATATGAATGTATAAGTAGAGCCTACGTTGAATTGCATGCCATCTTGGGTGGGGGCAGAGGAGTGGGAGGGGGAGAAAATTTAAAACTCAAAATATCATGGAAGTGAATGTTGAAATCTAAAAAAAAAAATCAATAAAAAAGATGGCAATATGTTGGAAAAGAAGAGATGAAATGGGATCACTTGTGCAAATAGAGGATTTTGCCTTGCAAAGGACAAGGGCCACCTCTTTATCTGAGACAGAAGTGAAGGAGATGATGATGAAAGATATCTGAGTGACATAAGATAAGGAGGAGGGAAAAAGAAGGAATTCTTGGTGTCTGGACTCAATTTTTTTCAGCAAAATATGAGGCAAGGTTCTTAGATGAGGGGGTGGGGACAGGGAATGTGATGGGAGGTTTGAGAAAGGATGAAAAGGTTTGGAAAAGCTGCTGTTGTGAGTGGGATAGTTATTAGGGGGAAGTGTAAAGCCTTGCCACACTGATGGCCAAAATGAAATTCTAAAGAAACAAAGAGAAGCAATTCCAGTGAGTAGGAAAAGGGGAAGTTGTAAATGCAAATAAAATTCATCAACTAAATGAGAATTTTAAAAGACATGTACAGATGATAAAAGCAAGGAAAGGTAATGGATAGGAACTAACACAATGTAACATGATCCTCTATAGTAGAGTCAGGAATGCTAAAACTCAAAATGATCTAAATCCAGTGAGGAAAATGAAGGACAACACAAAAAGGGTTGGGCTTTTTTTGTTCTTGTTTTTTTGCTTTTGTTTTTGGTTTGTCTGAAAATAAAAGAAAAGATAGAACTATTGCTTGGAACAAAAAGGATCAGTGCAATAACTGATAGAGAGAATGCAGATCTGACCATCTCTTACTTTGCTTCTATTTTCTCTGCCAAATAGAATGAGCTTTGCTATATATAACAATTGAAATAACAAAAAAAAATTGCTAAAAGAGAGTTGATACCCAAGATTGGTAAGAAAATAATAAAAGAATACCTATCTTCCCTTAATGAATTCAATCAGTCAGCCTCAATGAACTTCTAACTCTGAGGTTCTATGATATTTTGATTCTGATCTACAGCAACTTATGAATCAAAGCAAGGTGTTGGATATATAGTAAACATACAGTGGATGAGTTAGTCAGTTTGTCAACAAGTATTCATTAAGCACTTACTAGGTACTAGGCACATACCTGCTAAATGAGGGAGGTACAAAGAAAAGCAAAAGTACCTGCCCTCAAGAAGCTCCCATTCTAATGGAGGAGAAAACATGGAAATAATTATGCAGGTATGACATATATATAGTGTAAATAGAAGGTAATCTTAGAGGAGAAGTGGTACCAACTAGAGAAAGATGAATGGAGAAAGATGAGTAAATAATATCAAATGTCAACTAGAATATTTATTTCAAATAGAAAGTCATTTAATAGTTACAGCATGGATCCTTTGCATTATCTCCTATGTAATTGAACTTACCAGAGAGAAGAGGTTTGGCATTCGGAAACTCTAACTCAAGATTTCAGATTTGCAAATAATTATATTCATTTATCTTAAAGAACTTTATTTAAGCAGTGCAAGAGAAATGACAGACTCTCTTCTTAACTCTATTCCAAAACTTAACATCAATTTAGCTATTACCACTTTCTAACTGAACACTGTGTTCTGGTATATTTTAATAATGACAAGAATAGTTAAGGCATTGTGTAAACATCTTTTGGAATAAAATAACATCACTGCATGACAACAATTACTTTTCATACAGGTCTCAATCATTCAGGCTATGATAAACTAAAGACTAACAAAATAGAATAAAAATGTGTTTTGCAGTTTTGCATGATGAGCCTTATCTTTTAATCACATAATTATAGATTGGGATTTTGTACACTTAGAATTACATACAGTACTGAACATTAAATTCTATTTGTAATTACAATTTTCTAGAGCCACAGTTATCCACGGCCTGAGAGAACATCACAACTTCGGAGATATGAAGGGCAGAGAAAAATCATAAAATGAAATACTTTCTGCATTGATTTGTTTTCAATTTGCTTGTTTGAAAGTAAATTGTTCATATTGCTCCTGTATTTCTATCCATTACTGGTATTATTTTATTTTACCTGGTAAAGAGTTTTGGTCCTTAGTCTCTGCAGGGAATTCTTTCACAAGTTCACTATCTTCTCTGTTAAGAGAGAACCAGCAGTTACAGTCAAAGTTCATTTTTTGTTTGGTCTGTGGCTCCTCTATGTGAAAAGACTTCAAATGCCAACCCTCAAACTCTGGCAAATCATCACAGCTGACCCGAATCTTGTACACATCTCCAACATCTCCAATTTCAATCTACAATGTAGAGCATTAAGGAAAATGAACAAATTACCAGTCATATATACTGCTCAATGCTATAGAGAATATATCAATTAATATCAATCAAGATACTTCAAGTAACTCAATTAAATTCTGATTAATTTTATAGACTGTGTTTTGTGGTCTTAATTATGGCTGATCACATCATGATAATCTACACCCTTTAAAAAAACCCTCTAATTCTATTATAATTCTTGTTGTAAGCAAATATTGCCTTTTTCTGACAACTATAAGGAAATGCTAAGCTTGCTAATGTTATGTAAGTATTCCTAGGACCTTGCATTAAGGCTTGTTCATTCATTCATCTCCATAAAATCTGCTTTCTCACACTAAAGAGCTTCATGCAGCTCTCAATATAGCTTAGACTTGAAACAAACCTAGTAGATCAGCCAGTCCAACACTCTCATCGTACAAATGAGTGAACTGAATCCTAGAAAAGTAAACTGACTTGCCTGAGCTCCTAAAGATAAACAGGAACAGAGCCAGAATTAGAACTCATGTCTTCTAATACAATGCTTTTTCCACTATCCACTATTTTCCATTCTGTCCTTCCACGTATCACTTGGGGATTGATTCTAAGACAGAGAGTTAGAAGGGATCACTAACCTTACCCCACTGTTACTTTTTGCATATGAAGAAGTGACAGAGACAACAAGGTTTTCAAGCCACATAGGTAAATAGCAGAGTTTGGATTTGAACCCAGGTGTGTTAATTTCATATCTAGTACTCTGCCACTCCCTCCCATAACACAACACTGTCCTTACTAATTAAGATCCTTAAAAGGTGCCAGGAATAAGTTGGCATAAAATGCAATTGACATAAAATAATCGCCGAATTGGCATTGTAACATCTTATGAAAGTACATGGAATAGGAATTAATACTTTAGCTTTTAATGGAGGAAGAAATGAAATATTATGATTCATCAGGATTGGACTACCCAAAGGGATGACTTATACTTTTCTAAGTGGTTTAGGGAAGAGAACACAGAATGCAGTTTTGTTTTCTTCCTTCCTTCCTTCCTTCCTTCCTTCCTTCCTTCCTTCCTTCCTTCCTTCCTTCCCTCCCTCCTTTTTTGGTTATATGTGAGAAATAGCTTCCCTTCTACCTTACCCTTAATCCTAACCTTTCATGGATGGGCATTAATTGGGGAGCTAAGTGGTTCAGTGGACAACAAACTGGGCCTAGAGTCGGGAAAACCTGAGTTCAAATCCCATCTCCAAAACTCACTAGCTACATGACCCAGCCTCATTTTCCTCATCTGTAAAGTGGAGATAATAATAGCACTCCCAAGATTGCTTTAAGGATCAAATGAAATAATATTTGTAAAGCATTTTACACAGGGCCTGACACATAGTAGATGCTATAAAAATGGTAGCTATTTATTATTATTATTTCTGGAAACTCTGTTCCCATAAATCCTACCCCTGAAAACCCAGCCTAAGGATCATAAAATGAAAAGCTGAAAGAAACTTTGGACATCATCTAGTCCAATTCCTACATTTTACAGGTGGGGAAAAGGAAGCTCAGAGACAGGGTATGTTACTTACCTGAGAGAAATGACTATTATTAACCAATGATTTGGGGAGATCCAGAGTTCCCCTTTTCTCTACAGTGCTCATTTCAAAGTTCACTCTCCAGAAGGACATCACTAATAATGAGATTGTATTAACTTTCTTAACAATCTTGTTCAGACCCTACCCAGGTGAGGAAGCCATTGCGCTCTACTCAGGTTTAGGTGGGGATAAAGTCTTTGTTTGGATTGCCCAAGGCTGTAGTAATTTAGAAGCAAATGACATAATCAAAGTTCATTAGAATATGTCCAGCCCTTCTTTGTAATATTCATTCTTTCATTATTTATAAACCAATCAGAGTTAATTGTCACTATCAGTAACACCCCTCTTCCAAGGGTGAGCCCATCTCCATGATTGTCTGGCATTCAAGAGTGCCACTGACCACTTTTTATTGAAATGCTAGAGTTATTAATAAAATGAGTAATTACTCAGAAATTTTGTCTTTCAAACTTTTAAAATGCCAAATAGCTAAAGTAAAATGACTTATAAACAGCAGAGGTAAGATTTAAATGCAGGACATCTGGCCTAAGCTGTGCTCTTTCCATTACACTACATTGAATATTCTGGTATTAGGCTGCTTCTATTGCTTTCTGGGCAGAAATAGGGTGACTTTTATGGCTCCAGCTACTACCTCAGTTACACAACAGAACTTTGACCCTGCTTTGTCTTGCAAATCATCCTGTGCAGATAAAGAGAATTAGCATAAGGAGGTCAGGAGCCTGTGTTCCTCCTTAAGAACAGCAATTTCCTTATAAGTACATTGTCCCTGGATGGTAAGTCAGAATCAAAGCAAATTTAATAGATGAGGAAATAAACTGAAAGAGGTGAGATGAGTGTCTGGAGCTCACACGATGAAGAAGCCAGGGTATTGCAACTACACTCAGAATTTCCTGCTTAGCCCTACAGTGCTTCCCCCTGAAGGCACACCATTGGCTTATGATCAGAGATAATGTGTTGTGGATAGGAATCCTGCCATGCCAAACTGTCATGAAAGTATCTGGGAAACTTAGAAAGAAATTATCAAAATTAAAATGTAACTTTTATAATATCAATTGAAAATAGGAAAATGACTTTGATAAAATCATGCACTAACTCCAAAGAATATAATTCAGAAAATTTTTAAAAGTAGATGCTCTTTTTTTGCCCTTTGGGACCAAAAAATGTAATTTATATTCACAGGCAAGCATATGGCATCAAAGGGAGCATATCATATCGTGTTGCTTAAATATGTTTTTGAGAGAAATGCTAAAGTTCAGTTCTTTCATAGCAGTGTTAGACTTCACAACTTGACTTATGTTCTTAAGTCTATTATTCTTATTTGTGCAAAATGTCGTGCCCCTTCTGGACTACTTCTGAAATTTGATATTCATGGGTTGGCTCCCCAGGGGGTAGCTACTACCCCAGGGTTAAAGGAATTTTCTGAGTATGCACTCCTAAAACTATAGTTTATGAGTTCCAATAGTGTGCATGCCTTTAATAGTCAGCCAAGAGACATAATAAGCTCAGAGCAAAGTAAGAACAGTAGTTACAAATTATTCCTTCCATAAATCTGGAGGACAGCCATCCACAACTACTTATAGCATCAGTGGGAAGAGTATGTACAAACCTAGTGCACTTGGGTTGTGAGGCACAAACAGAGAGAAAACATCTACCCCAGACAATTCATGCCTCCAGTACTAGAGTGCTCAGATACCCTTTTTCTTCTTATAATGTTCTCGTGCTGCTCCTCTCTGGCCACAGGGTCTTTGCTGGACAGATTGCTCAGCTGGAATCCCTGGACCTGCTCCTCCCCAAACACTGACTCTTATCAGCCAGGGCTAACTCTCTTTTTTCTTCCATGACTGGCTATCTACTGACAGAGGTTATACTCCTTGGAGCTGCTTCCACTGATTCTGTCTCCCTCTGTGTCTGTCTTTCTGTCTTTCTTTTCTCCTTTCCTCCCCTTTCATCTTCTTTTCCCCCTCCTTTCACTCCCTTCTCTTTTCCTCTTCCTTCCCTCTCCTGTCTCCCCTTTCCCTCCCCCTCTCCCACTACCACCCATCTTCTCCTCTCCTCTCTCCTCTTCCTCATCCTCCTCCTCCTCCTCCTCCTCTTCTTCTTCTTCTTCTTCTTCTTCTTCTTCTTCTTCTTCTTCTTC